AACAAGGCACTGAGCTAGTGGAGCGGGTGGTGATTCCTGCACCTTATCTTCTGAGGGAAAAAAAACCTAATTTGATTAGGATAATGCTAATTGGTGTCATGCTTAATGGCTCTTCTTCTAAGTTACATAGTTTAAGTCAGGCTGAAGAAAGACAAAAGTCCATCTTGTTCAACCAATTAGAAAAAATTAAATAAATAGACAACCTCCATATTGGCAATCTTATACCCAAAGTTGATTCAGAAGAAGGTAAAAAATAAAGAAAATAACCCTTTTGCTGCCAGTCATTTTTGCATTTCTTGCACACAAGAAAATGCAAAAATGACTAATATTTTAGATCTGAAGATGACATAAAACACCCAAACATTATATATTTTATGAATAATTACAGTTGTTTATGTCACAATAGTTTGGTACAATGGGTTTATGAAACAAAAACATCTCAGTAAATAAGGACACTGAAGTTAACTTTACGTCACCCAATGTTTTTTGTAAATAAAAAAAGATGAGGTTGCGCCCAGTAAAAACACAACATGTGAAACCTAAAATTATGTATATAAAAATGTGTGTTGCTCTAATTCATGATTAAATGATGAGTTAAATATATAGGTGCTATCAAATCAAAAATGATATACACATAGTGCTAATCAACTGAATGTCCAAATCCCACCGATGTAAAAAAAGAAAATATATGAAAGTCCCAAAAAGATGAAATAGTGATGAGTAAGTGTACTGCTCCAAATGGCAGCTATAGGGCTGGGAGTATCTCCCAGTAAGTAGAAGGATCCTCCACCAGGTAACACCACTCAAGACTTTACCAGATATTGTATGACCATCTGATTAGAGAAAGGTCAATATGTGCTTTATTTCCAGATCATATTGGCAATCATCAGAGGGTAGAAGAAACCATAATCATCTCAGAAGGTGCTTGGGAAAAATTCCCCAGTTATGTATCAATCTCTGAGTTTAAAATATCAAAGATAAAAACAAAGAGCTCCACATAATGTGTACCATTCAAACTTCCCTTTTTACTATAAAAGTAGAACACTCACATTAAAAATTAAGTGAAAACGCTTGTAAATAAACACTGGCCAGTAACATCAAAATGGCTTCCTGCAGACTTCTGGTTGTGCAATGACGTCACAGCAAGCTCCACCCACCGTGTTTCGTCTCACTTGACATCTGACCTTTCTCTAATCTGAAGGTCATACATTTTTGGAAGCCTTGCATGGTGTTACCTGGGGTGGAGGATCCTGTCCTACTTTTTGAGAGATCCTCGCACCCTAATAACTGTCATTTGGGAGAGTGGTACACTACTGATCACTATTTCAACTTTTGGGCTTTCATAGATATTTTCTTTTTATTGCACCTGTGGATTTGGACATTTCGGTTCGATTAGTACTAAATGTATATAATTGTTGATGTATAGCACCAAATTTATTTAACTTTCGTTTACTCACGAATTAGCACAACACACATTTTTTACATATTTTATGCAGCTTTTCTAAGGTTTTCATTTTATTGTATATATATGATTTTTTTTATTTTGTTTACCTAAGCGCTGTTCACATATTTAATTCATTAAAATTATGTGTGCCCATGACTTGGCAACAAATTTCAGTACCCTATATTTTCCATAGTTGACACATTAGAAGCCCCTACAGGTCATCAGTTTAGAGTTAACTGCAAGAATGAGCCTAGAATTATTGATCTCATGGCAATGTCGATATGTAACATGTGTAGTGCAATTGACAGCTTCACGCGGAAGCACTCCCGAAACATACATATACACTAGTATGATTCAAGCATGTGGGGGCCCAAAAATATAGGGGGGGTATTTAAGTACTTGGGTGTGAATTTAATTCTTTTGCACTTATTTACATTTTTCATTCCTCATTTTGTTCACATGCTATGTGCTGTAAAATTCAACTCCCCCTTACACCAACTTCCTTTTAAATAGATTAAAAAAACGATTTACATTCAAATAAACTGTTTTTTCTTTACTGTACCTTTAAAATATTTTAAAACCTATACTTCTGTTTAAAAAATATATAGTCTTGTATGAATTTAACCTGTCACCTTGTTTCTTCCATGTTATAGCTAGGGAAGCACAAGTGACAATTTCAGATCACATGACTGTCTGTAGCTGACCTCTGTCACAAGATAAAGGAATAAATCACCATATCCTCTCCTGTGTGTCTCCTGTGTGTCACATAAGGCTGGGACCCAGCACAATAATTCATCATATGGTTGACTGGATCAGAGGTGCATAGACTGTAATGCAATTCTTCCAATATCTTTTACAGAAAACTCTAAACATACCATTTTTGAAGTAGCAAAATACTGTTTGTTCAGATCATTTTAAGATTTCTTAAAAACACATTTGGAGTCCGCTTTTTTATATCTTTATTGAGTGTAAGGAAAGAAAAGGATAGCAGAAAATGAAAACAGGTAATGGAACTGTGTTTTTTAAATATATTTGTTGAATTGTAGATATAAAAAGGATAAAACAAACAGCAACTGTAGTTTTAGACAATGCAGTTCAGGGGGTATTGCTAGTTAAAGCGGAGCTCCACCCAAAAGGGGAAGTTACGTTTTAAAAGCCTTTGTCCCCCCCGTTCCCCATTTAGGGTTGGCACCTTTGGGGAGCAGGTAAGCAAATTTGACAGGTACCCGCTCCCACTTCTGCTGCGATCAGATCGGAAGTGGAAGTTGTCCCCCCCCCCCCCCCGTAGTCTTCTGAGACACGTGACAGGTCCCAGAAGACTACGGGGCCATTCACAAAGTGCAGTGCTTTTCACGCATGTGCAGTGGGCACCCGGCTGTGAAGTCGCAAGCTGAACAGCCAGGTGCCCACACTGAAGATGCTGGTGCCAGGGAGAGAAGACGGCTGGTTGATTCTGATAGCAGGGGGACTCTGCTGTCAGAATACACTGATCAGCAGCTGGAGCCAATTGACAAAAATATAACTGACTTCCGTAGAACAGGGAGGCCAACACACAGATCAAAATGTGGCCACTCCCTGCTGAACCGGCTGAATTTTGATCTGTCTATGCCCAGGTTTAGCCTTAGTTAACTCCTTGGCACTGACGGTACCCAAATATGTGGCCTCTTGTTCGACTGGACCTTGATGCTGAGAGGCTGCATATTTGCGTACCCAATGTAAGCAAGCATGTGCCGAGAGCATGCACCCTGCCCGCTCCCAGCACATTTTCCTGCACCTCACAGAAAAGTGCTGATCGCTACTTGCGATCAGAAGATTTCCGATCATGTGACCGCTGTGACGGCCTATCATAGAAGGCACATGACCCTAAACCCTGCCCCACGATTAGTAATAGTATGTACAACCAGTATGCAAACATACACTAGCGTATGGGTAACGGCTGGAGACTTAAGTTGCTATTGTCACTACTGAATGTATACTTGAACAGTGGGGCTGGGCGGGCAGAAGATCAAAGAGCGGGGGGATCTCAGTGCCAAGTGCGGATGTTAATAACATATATGTTTGTAAGCTATCTGGGACTGAAAAAGCTACCGGAGAGACATAAGGAGGGATTTTTCCCAGGTGTAGTTTTCCTGAATATTGAGTAGAAAATAAGTGGCTAAGTTTATCAAATATGAAGAATAGATATGCGAAAGGAGGGGGTAAAAAAACCCCGCAACCTAATATAAATACCAGCACAATAAAGAAATACATGCCATTACAAGAAAAAAGCCCAGAGATACAAAGTATAGAGAAACAACAGGAAGGAAGTAGAAAATATGATGGTGAACAGTCCAGATTGTTATTCTGGACACGGGAAGAGAATGAGACTAATGAATCAATAAGCGTTGATGGCGAAAGAGATCAAACAGACCTCGGAACAACAGAAAGGAACATCACAGATCCCCACAAAATGGAAATGTTTGCAAAATTAGAACTATCTCTGAAAAATGAAATGGAGGTGATCCACAAAGACCTTGGACAAATGTTAACAAGGATTGAAGAAGTGGAGGAGAAAATGGAGACCCGCACAGCAGATAATTGCCTTGGAGATGCAGATGGAGGAGATACAAAGAGAACAGGGGAAGCTCTCATTTAAATTAGAGGATCAAGAAAATATAGAGAGAAGAAATAACCTAAGCCTGCCAGAAGATTTGCATGATGAGGACCTCCGGGAAAAATTAAAGAGAGCATTTAACCCAATGATAGGTAGACTAGCCATAGATCCTTTGAAGATTGAGAGAATACATAGATTAAGATGCCCGCCAGGAGTATCATCAGACATCCCAAGAGACGTAATAGTTCAATTCCATCACTAAGAAGATAGAGAAAGAATACAGAAAAAATTGCGGGAGAGCCCAGAAATAAAATATGGAGATACGAAATTGCAAGTTTTCACAGATTTCTCATCTGAGACATTAGCCAGAAGGAGATCGTTAATACCTTTATTGGACCATATGAGGGAGAAAAGAATTCAATACAACTGGGGATTCCTAGCATGTCTGATCAGGTGGAAAGATGGGAAATCAGCAAGGCTAAGATTCCCAGAAGAACGTAGTGACTTTTGTGAAAACTTAGAACTGCAGAAGGTGGACATTATGGGGTGGGCAGAGGGGTCTAATGAAAGTGCAAGGTTGAAAAAAGAGAAGTGGCATTTAGTGAATATAAAGAGAAGATAGACTGAATTGGGGTGGGGGGAGTACAGTGGGGGAGAGAGTTGGGGCTTTGGGGGTCGAATTGTTCCCCCTTTTGCTCCCCTTTAATTTCTGTTTGTATTCATGGATGGATGCATCTTCCAATGCGCAGAAAGGAGGAGGTAAAAAACTAAGAATGTTGAAAAAGAAGTTACAGTATTTTTCGCTCCATAAGACGCACTTTTTTCCCCCAAAAAAAGGGGGGAAAATATCAGTGCGTCTTATGGAGCGAATATAAAGTGGCCGGTCCGGTATTTCTGCCGCCACCATGTCAGAATACTGGGCCGGCCGCTCAGCTGTTCTCTCTTGCAGGGCCTTACCTGTTCCTCGCTCCAGCGCTGTACAGTCTTCCCGCGCTGGCTTCTGTGACAGCCGGGTGCCCACTGCGCATGCGCTTTGCTTTGTGAATGGTCCGGTGTCTTCTGGGACACATGACAGGTCCCAGAAGGCGCCGGGCCATTCACAAAGCGCAGTGCTTCTCGCGCATGCGCAGTGGGCACCCGACTGTCACAGAAGAGGGAAGGACAACTCTGCGAAAGTGGGAGCGGGTACCTGTCAAATTCAGGTACCCGCTCCCCCTCCCTCCCCAAAGATCAGCAGTCTCTGGTCATCTCCTTTACTGTCTGCAGTCTCTAGTCATCCCCTGCACTGTCTGCAGTCTCTAGTTATTCCCTGCACTGTCTGCAGTCTCTGGTTATTCCCTGCACTGTCTGCAGTCTCTGGTCATCTGTACTGTGTCCCTGGTATTTTCCCTGTACTATGTCTGCAGTCTCCGGTCATCTCCTGTACTGTGTCCGCAGTCTCCGGTCATCTCCTGTACTGTGTCCGCAGTCTCTGGTCATCTCCTGTACTGTGTCTGCAGTCTCTGGTCATCTCCTGTAGTATGTCCGCAGTCTCTGGTCATCTCCTGCACTGTGTCCGCAGTCTCTGGTCATCTCCTGTAGTATGTCTGCAGTCTCTGGTCATCTCCTGTACTATGTCCGCAGTCTCTGGTATCTCCTGTACTATGTCCGCAGTCTCTGGTCATCTCCTGTAGTATGTCCGCAGTCTCTGGTCATCTCCTGTACTATGTCTGCAGTCTCTGGTCATCTCCTCTAGTATGTCCGCAGTCTCTGGTCATCTCCTGTACTATGTCTGCAGTCTCTGGTCATCTCCTCTAGTATGTCTGCAGTCTCTGGTCATCTCCTGTACTATGTCCGCAGTCTCTGGTCATCTCCTGTAGTATGTCCGCAGTCTCTGGTCATCTCAGTCTCTGGTCACTCTGTAGTATGTCCACAGTCTCTGGTCATCTCCTGTACTGTGTCCGCATCTCTGGTCATCTCCTGTACTATGTCCGCAGTCTTTGGTCATCTCCTGTACTGTGTTCGCAGTCTCTGGTCATCTCCTGTACTGTGTCCGCAGTCTCTGGTCATCTCCTGTACTATGTCTGCAGTCTCTGGTCATCTCCTGTACTATATCCGCAGTCTCTGGTCATCTCCTAGTACTATGTCTGCAGTCTCTGGTCATCTCCTGTACTGTGTCTGCAGTCCATTGGTTCAGAATATTTTTTTTTCTTGTTTTTCGACTCTAAAACCTAGGCGCGTCTTATGGTCAGGTGCGTCTTATGGAGCGAAAAATACGGTACATCAAAATCAACTTATAGATAGATGGAGGGTGAAACATCCCAGAGAGAGAGAGATTATATCTTCTTCTCCATGGCGCATAGGTTGCATTCAAGGTTGGACTATATAATCGAGCATAGACAATTGGACCTATTGGTTAAATCTAATATAGAGGTTATGTCTAAATCTCAGATCAAGTTCCTGTCATGGCAAGACTAAAGGTGGGAGGAAATTGGAATAAAAGGGCGATGTGGAGATTAAATGAGATGCTTATACAGGAGGAGAAAAGGTTGAGGGGGGAAATAGAGCAATTTTTTCTGTTAAACAAAACTGAAGAAGTTTCGGTAGCCACTATTTGGGAGGCACATATTAGGGGAATTTTGATAGCTACAGGGGCCAAAAAAAAAAGAAAGAATGGGAGAGAAAAATAAAAGGTGACAGAGGAGTTATATGGTTTAGAGCAGGCACATAAACAGAAACAGGATACGGAGATACACTCGAAGATTATGCTTAAAAGATCTATTGGAACAGGAAACAAGGAAGATATTTAACAGGGTTTCAAAGGAAAGATACCAGAGGGGGAATAAGCCAGGAAAATACCAGATGAAAAGACTTAAGGAAAAGAAATCGAAGAATTATATAGAAAAGATTAAAAATGAAAAAGAAGAACTGGTTTATTCTACCAACAACATCGCTAATGTGTTCCAAAAATATTATAGCAGACTGTATGATGTGAACTCTAAAAGTCAGGAAGGTAAAGAGGAAGTAAAGTGGAAGAAAATTCAGGATTATTTAGAGGCTGCAGACCTGCCAAAAATATCAGAAGAAAAATTAGTGTCTCTAGAACATCCGCTATCCCAAGATTAAATTAATATGGCCCTGAAGAATACAATAGGAGGGAAGAGCAGCACAGGACCCAAAGGGTATATGGTGGGATACTATAAGAAATTTAAAGATTTAATGGTCCCGAAACTCTGTACATACATGAATGTTTTAGGAGAGGGAATGATAATAAGAGAGGAATTGTTCCAAGCGTATATAACAATTATCTTGAAAGAAGGAAAGGATAGTTCACAATGCAGTAGTTATAGACCTATATCTTTATTAAATACAGATACAAAATTGTTTGCGAAAGTGCTAGCTACTAGGTTAAAAGTGTTGATGCTGGAATAGATGCATTTAGATCAAGCTGGATTTGTCCCAGGTAGGGAAGAGAAGGATAATGGTTTAAGAACATTGTTCCTCCTTCAAAAAGTGAAGAGAGAAAACTCACCGACAATTTTTTTGTTGATTGATGCCGAAAAAGCCTTTGACAGGGTAGACTGGGGATTCATGATAAATACTTTAGAGGTCTTAGGAATAGGATGTTAAAGTGGATAAAAGAGCTTTATAATGTTACATCAGTGGCGGTTAAGTTAAATGGGTCCCTCTCAGGGTTTTATAAGATGTATAATAGTACCAGACAGGGATGTCCATTAACTCCATTGTCATTTGTTATAGCCCTGGAATCTCTGTTGGTGACGATAAGAAAGAGTGTAGATATCAGAGGAATTAAGATAGAAGAGATGGATCACAAGGTAGCGGCATATGCAGATGATATGCTGTTTTATATTGTGAACCCTGGATTAACGTTACCTAATTTTATGAGATTATTAAAACAATATGGAGAACTTTCAAATCTGAAGAAAAATCCCTCAAAGTGAGAGATCTTGAATATTAATATTTCCAAGAAAGAGAGGCAGGCCCTACAAAATGATTTTCCATTCACATGGAGGGAGAAGGAATTGGGCTACTTAGGAATAAAGCTAACCTCTTCTATAAAGAACATATACCAGGTAAATTATATTCCATTAATAAATGAAATAAAGGATGAGCTGAGAAGACTCTCAAGGGGTAGGGTCTCCTGGATTGGGCGTATAAACTTGGTTAAGATGATAACAGTCCCAAAAATTCTGTATAAATTCTATATGGTCCCAGTCCACATTCCAGGATCCTTTTTTTGGATAATAAAAAAAACTAATACTTAAATATATATGGGCTAATAAGAAACCAAGAATTAGTTGTGAAGTTTTGTGTAATAATAAAGAGAAAGGGGGATTAAATTTGCCCAATATTAGGAATCACTATATTGCGGTGATACTGTCACGAGTGATAGATTGGACAATTAATTCACAGGGGAAAAGCTGGGTTAATATAGAGGGTATTTTAAGTAAAGCACAATTAGAGAAGGTTATTTGGGTACCACAAAAGTTTCGTATTATAGATGAGATTAGAAGCACTTTGACACAGGAGGTGTTAAAATTATGCGATGGAATGCACAAACAAATGGGTTGGAAGTATAATTCATTATTGATTCCCCTGGTGGGCACAGAGTTTTTTGGGTAAATGGTTTAAAGATGGGGATACACAATTAAGAGATATAGTAGTTAAGGGGAACTTGTGCACTTTTCAAGATTTAATTAGTAAAAAAGAGGTGTTGGTAGTATTAGATGAATTAAGATACTATCAATTAAGATATGAATTAAGACATTTTGTTTCAGAGTTGCCTCAACCACTGAGGATGCCGGAGGACATGCTCCCATTTAAAAAAATGTTGGGTGCTGGTACAGCTCCAAAACATGTCACTTCCAGGATATATAACATTCTTATTGAATTGAAGGGAGCAAGCCCTCAATTATTCTTAGAGAAATGTGAAGGGGAACTGGGAACAAAAATGAGTGAACAACAGAAAAACAAAATGTTTAAATTAACACAAGTATGGAGAAGGGAGTAGAAAATGAAGGTCAAATGTTTGTGTGTTTTGTATGAATATGATATATTGTTGAGTTTTCCCATTTTTTTCCTTTGTAATTAAAAATTTAATAAAAGATTTAAATAAATTAAAAAAAAGAACACATGTGTCTGGTCCCTGCTTCGGGTGTGCATGAAAATCAGAAGAAAACTACAGAAAGGATGTTTGTGGGGAGGTGCAGCATGGTGCAGAAGAGTGATTACACAGAGTCTGATTGTATAAACAAGAACTTGTATGAATAAGAACTTGTAATTAGCGGAAAGGCTAGGGCCAGTGCTCCTACTAGGCAAACTAGGTGGCAGCCTAGGGCACACTGCCATCTAGTGGCGTCTGAGCACAGCACAGGTTGGCACTGTCTTTGTGTGGGACACCACCCAGGGCCGGTGCTAGACTATTCTGCACCCTAGGCAAGACCAGCTACTTGCGCCCCCCCCCCCCCAAATAAATAAATAAATACATTTTAAAACAGCAGAAAATATTAAATCAACAAAACATGGAACTGCAAAATTTATTTTAATTTGCAAAAATAAGTGCCATAAGATGCCACCAGCACCAATATTAAAGACAAAATAAGTATCAAGGACAGACTGTATCTGTGGCTGGCAGTGGCAGGCTCACAATTGCAGTGATTGGAGGATGATGGATCCACACTCTGACAGATCCCAGGCTGCCTAGTTTGTCTAATGAAAGCACCAGCCCTGACGCCGCCACGTCATAAATGATCCTTCTCCTTCTGAGAGGTGGGGCAGTAGAGAGCAGGAAGAAAGGACAGAGGAAGATTCTGGGTGTCTGGGACCAGTGTAGCAGCTGAGCTGCAGCTCCTTCCAGTGTTCCTCTCAGACTCATTCCCTTACTGCAAGCTGGCTGGCGGCTGCTTTTCACTGTGGAGTTCAAGCCCTTCTCTTCCCATTCATCAGTGGAGGCGGAGCTGCACCTGCGGAGGAAGGTAATGGCTGACTCTGATGTCTTGTGTCTGTGTGAGTGTGACCAGACATCCATCACATAAGCAATGTGTCAGTGAGTGATGATATCATCACGATCCAGCAGCCTATTTTTTTAGTGCCTGCTGGGCCTGTTGATCTGTGTCAATGTTGTTGGTGGTGTGTTGTGCCGTACCTGTCACTGCGTGGGACTGCTCAGTTTAGCTGCCTTGACTGTTGATTTTTTTTGGGGGGGGGACGCAAGTAGCTAGCCTTGCCTGTGGGTGCAAAACAGTCTAGCACTGGCCCTGGGAAAAACTCAAATCAATGAACAGCCCAGCGGGAGAGCACCACAGGAGGGAAACTCTCACAGTACTGAGTGACATCAGAAAGCAGCAGGTTAGGATGCACCAACAGCATCTGTCTAGAGGGTGGAATGTGGCCTAGTCTGTACGGTCCCAATGGGGATGCTTCCAAAGTAGGATGCCACTATCACTTTCCCTGACAGATGAGTGCTCTTTCCCTCTCCTATCCACTTTGCAAATGTGAGCCAAACCCTGGAAGCAGGGACTTAAAAAGACTCTGCTGACCCAAGTTGGCACCAGAGGTCACCTGAATGCAATGTAGCCAACCAGAACACTGCGTCAGGTTTCTCCTGGCTTCCTCTCCAGCTGCGGTACCATTGTGGTCGAGCGCCACCCACAGTGGAGAAAATGGACTGCACCTGCCTACATGTTCATTTGGTCCAAGTCTCTCTCTACTTCGTGGAAAATGCTCTGTATAGGCTATTACAGTCTTTCAATCGTGGTTTCCA